TATGGGTTTTCAAGTCTTTGGGGTAAATACTCAGTAGAGGGATTGCTGGATCATATGGTTGACCAATTCTTAGTCTTTTGAGGAACCTCCATACTGCTTTCCATAGTGGCTGTACCAATGTGCAGTCCCTCCAGCAGAATGCTTTCTTGAAATTAAAGTTATTGACTGTAGCCTTCAGTGAACTCACAAATGGTTTAACTTCCACTTCCCTCTCCATTTTTCACCGTTACCTAGTTTGTTTTTCTTGTCGGCGTACCCCAGTCCCTCCAGCCCTCTCTGCCTATCTTTGAACAGAGTTGAGTCTTTTTCTGGGAGAGATGTTGACACATGTTTTACATCTCCCTGTATCTGCCATCTCTTTATTGTGCAAACGTGTACACATATACACATGCACATTCTAGTCGCTTCTGAAAGCTGGTCAGCACTGGGTCACGGGGAGCCAGGATTGCAAGGCCAGCTCTTTTACTAATGCACTGTATCATGTTGGAACGCTATTTGGCCTCAAAAATCTATGTCACATGAGGGAACATAGATGAACCTTGAGGACGTTTTGCGGAGGGAAGTATGCCAGTTGCAAGAAAAGAAATCCTGTATAACTCAAGTATACGAGGCATCTAAAGTAGTCAAATTTATAGAAACAGAAAGAATGGTGGTCAGCAGGGCCCGAGAGAAGGGATAAAAGAGAAGATGCTCAATGGGTATAGGGTTTCAGTTGCGAAAAATAGAAAGTTCTAGAGAGTGCTGCAGAGGGAGCAGCCAGATGTAGGCAGGGGTAGAGCCCCTCGTCTTTGGGAACAATTGGGGTCCATGGGGAGCAGCAGGCAGATGGAGGAGGGGAGGGGCCAAGCGAATGGAAGTATTTGCAGTAAAGGCCTGACGATTGATTTGATTTCAGTCACATGAACGGAGGGAGTTTTCCAGATCAAAAAGATGTGAGGATGAATCTTCAAATTATTCTCATGAATCGGATCAGACACCTTTGAAAAGTTACTCAGTTTCAGAATCCTGGTGAGACTCCATACAGATTTCCACACGTGGTCCTTTAAAACAAGGGTCCTCCCTGGGTGTGTAACTGCCACCCAGTCGATGAAAAACAGAGCTTACACTCCAAGTGGGGGTTTATTGATTTCCTTATACAGTATATCACTATACCTCTCTACCAACATGTTAACATACGTTTTAAAACACGTGACAAGAAATAGTTAAGAAAAATTAAATGGATTTTTAAGGATATCTCGCCCGCCTCAGCGGATGGTCTTGCCTCACCTCCCAGCCGTGTGTACTCCCACTGTGGAGGCCTTTGCTTTAGAACCCAGGTGTCCAGCCTATTGTTGTTGACTGCAAAGGCCTCCACAGACTGACATCAGGGGGGCTGTGCAAAATTTTCTCGTGAGGCGACCCTCAGTTTTCATGAGATTTCTAAATGGTTCTGGGAGCCACAAAGGCTTTATAAAGTCTCTGTTCTCTAGAGAATAATGAAATGTCAGAAGTCTTTTTTTTCCCCCCCAAATTCAGGTGAAATTCACATTCAATTAACCATGAAAATTCACATTCAATGAACCGTTTGAGCAATTTAGTGGCATTTAGCTCATTCACAGTGTCGTGTGACCACCAGCTCTATCTTCTTCCCCCTCCTTTTAGAAAAACCCTCAAGATTAAGTGGTCGCTCTCATTTCCCCCCTTCTCCCCAACCCCAGGGAGCCACCAATCCAATTCCTGTGTCCCGATTTACCTGTTCTGAACATTTCACATCAATGGGATCATAGAATATATGACTTCGTATGTCTGACTTTTTAAACTTAACATCATGCTTCTGAGGTTCAGTTAGTGAGTTTTACAGCAATCACCACCACCACCACGATTAGGATTAGAACGATTATAGCGCAGCAGCAAACAACCACATTCCTGTGTGTGAGATTCTGGGCTATGTGGGAATATAGATCCTCACCTAAGGTGGAGACCTGGATTATACTTTGCCCCTGGTGGTTGGAGTTTGCTCTCGGCCTGTGTAATGCCTCCTCTTTCTTCATCTGGGTGTTTCCTGTCACTGAATCCTCTGCGGTGCTGCTCCTCGTGGGAGAAGGCGTAGAGCTGGAGATTTCTTCAGGTGAGTTTAGGATTATACTTTGCCCCTGGTGGTTGGAGTTTGCTCTCGGCCTGTGTAATGCCTCCTCTTTCTTCATCTGGGTGTTTCCTGTCACTGAATCCTCTGCGGTGCTGCTCCTCGTGGAAGAAGGCGTAGAGCTGGAGATTTCTTCAGATGAGCTTGTTGAGAAAAATGATGGGGAAGTCCGTGACTGTGTGGCCAGATCTAACCCCCTCCTAGCACAAAAGCCCCGCAGACACGCCTCGCAGTTGTCACTGTCATGTGCCCCTCTAAGGGGGCAGTCCTTGATGGTAGGGATTTCCTCCATCGACTTAAATCTTTCTCCGTAGCATTCCTTCAGAATTTTGGACACCAGGTTGTTCAGGATCCTTGAGATGTTTTCTTCTGTGAACTCAGGAATCTCAAATGAAGGCTGGGAGCACTTCCGACACCTCTGGGCAAAGACCCGCATCTTCACCTGGCCCGTGGATGTCCTCTTATTCCAGTGCATGTGGAAAAGGACTTGAACTTGGGCAGAGGCCCAGCTGCGAGAGCACCGGGAGCACTGGAATCTGTGGAGACAGAAAACGGAACCCTCGGCTTGGCTCAATATGGCCAAGGGAAGAAGGCGTGACCAGCCACACAGAGACATGACTTGACTGGGGTCATGGGTTAGTCGGGGAAGAAATTCCTGAGCCCCTCACTCCTGTCTCCACCGTGCCACCGATGTGCTCTGTGACCCACAGGAATCTCATCACGAAGATAGCAGATCACAAGCCGTCGGAGCTGAAAGGGATCTTGGGCACCTTCTAAGTCCAGTGTGATCGTTTTAGAGATAAGGCGCACGCGGTGACTTTGTCATGCCCAGAGACTCAGTGGATCTGAGAGGCAAGACAAGAAACTCCAGTTTCCTGACTCCAGATGCAGATTTGTGGGCAACAGGATCCATTAAATCAGCCCCCAAGGACCCTGAATTGACCTCCACAAATACATACAAGGTGGGGGGGTTGGTAAGTGCTATAGTCTGAATACTTGCATCCCCCTCAAATTCATACGTTGAAATCCTAACGCTCTAAGGCGATGGTGTTAGAAGGTGGGGGCCTTTGAGAGATGATTAGGTCATGAGGGTGGAACCCTTACCAATGGGATAAGTGCCCTTATATAGGAGACCCCACAGAGCTCCTTAGTTCCTACTGCTATGTGAGGACACAATGAGACGTCTGTGACACAGAGACAGCCCTCGGCTGACCAGCCGGCACTCTGATTGTGGACTTCCAGTCTCTAGAACTGTGAGCAATAAATTTCTGTTGTTTATCAGCTTCCCAGTCTGGGCTCAGAAATGTGTTATAGCAGCCTCAAAGGACTAAGACAGTAAGTCAGAGACCCACAGGTCAACGAGGGGCCCTCCAAGGTCCGGCGTCCTAGGGAAAACAGTGCTTCGCTCTCAGTTGCTCAGGCCTCTCCTCCAGGCCTGCCTCGGTCTGCCAGTGTTACGGGCAGATCAGGTCTAGCTCTCCCTTCTTTGCCCTTCTCCGTCCCAATTCACTGTTCAAAGTAGCCCGAAAAACTCCATAGTCCTCACGCCTCGGGCCTCAGACAGAGTACAAGAGAATGACACTTCACTCAGCAGGGAGAAGGGCCATTTTCTGAGCTAAGGTAGTTGGACAAATACATGTCAGGACGGATGGAGAGAGAGAAGAAGGCAGGGAAGCACATGGCAGCACCCAAGATAGGCATTGTGGGAGAGCAGCGGGCTGCAGTCTGGCAGAGACATTTAGCAGCCACTGAATTATCCATGCGTTCCCTGCCTTTTCCCAGCCCCCTTGCAGTTAGGTTGGGGCAATGTGACTAGTTGGCTAATCGGACGTGGATCCAAGTTGGGGTAATGTGAATAGGTGGCTAATCGGACGTGGATCCAAGTGATACGTGCCACTTCCGGAACGGGCACAGAAGCCCTTGGAAGATGCTCTGGCTCTCTCCTCCTGTGCTTTGGGGAACTTGGTGCCATGTGTTAGATTAAGTCTCTGATATTTCAGGGTTTATTTGTTATAGCGGCCAAACCTAGCCTGGGGCATCTGGAGTCTGGGCCGGGGAAGTGGAGGGGGATGGGAAGGAGTCAGTCAAGCCTCCCTCCTGCATCTTGATTCTTGCGTCCCAGGATGGGGTGAACGTGAGGATGAAATGAAGGGAAGATGCCAAGTTGCTGTGACCCCCGCGGGTGAGATGACCCTGCTGGGAAGTCATTCAGAGAGTTGGGGAGTCGAGAGGTGCAAAGGGGTCTGGGCCCTGTTCTTCTAAGCCGCGGGGCCCTGCCCCCACTCTGGGTCACGCTTCTCTGTTGGTGTGCCAGCACAGAATTCGAAGTTCCCCAAACAAACAAACAAAAAACAAAAACAAACAAACAAACAAATAAAGGAGCGCTGAGACTTTGCTCAGATGCTCCTGGCGCCAGTTCCCGGCCTGGGACAACTCCAGGTAGTGAGGAGAGCAGAGCTGTCTCCTCTCCACAGACCCTCTCCCAGAGACGGGGCAGTGGGCAGAGAGCAGGCCCCTGCCCCAGTCCTGGGACAGAGCCCCAGGCCCCCACCCTGTGTGCAGGGGGGTGACCCCCATCCTTGGGCCTCTGCTTTCCCACCTGGGAAAGACAGGGTGAGACTTTGGGGAGGGGGTCTCCTCAGTGCACAGGGGCCTCCCTCATGAGCTTCAGGTCTCCCAAGACAGGGGCGCATGCGCCGAGCCTTGCTCACCCAGCTCTCCTGTGCTCGAGCAAAGTCATGACCATCCCTCCCCTTCCCTTTGCGGTCACCCCTTGCAGCCTGATTTCTCCGAATCTAGGCATTTGCCCACACCCGTGCGCAGTCCTGCTGTTGTTTTGGGTTTCATTATAAAAATGAAAACCACCTTGAATGAAGCTAAACGTTCTTGGGTGGTGGCCACCTTACCTCCCGTAATCTTCAGTTTACAGGCGTGGAGCAGAACAAGAAAAGTAACAAGTAGACACAGTAAGAAATAAGGAAGGATTCTCTGGAAGGTATATATACCACCGCATTCCCTCCTCACCTGGCAAAGACCGACTGCTGGTGGTATTTCCAGTATGGCTGCAAGAGATTGGGAGTCAGATGTCTGTCTAGTGTCAGGGTCCATTGGTCCCAGGGTTTCTCCTCCTGAATCAGCTCCTGGAACTCCTGCTGCCACACCTCCATCTCCTGGTCCATGGTCGCCGCCGCCTCGGTGAGCTGGGTGGGGTCTCCTGGGTCCTGACTGATCTCTAGCAGGACGTGCAGTTCCCCACTTTAGAGAGCTGGGGCTCACACGCTTGCTCCCCTTTGTGTGACCTGTGGACGTGGTCTTTGACCTGAGGACAAAGGTCGGTTGAGTCTGGCTGCACGTTCCGAGAACGGCACTGGGCTCCCCAGGAATTTCAAAAGACACGGAACGCATAGTTTTGTTCATGAGAATAGTACCCAAGGCAGCTCCGGACCCTGCGTTGGGGAAGCGGATCTCGGTCTGGCCCTGCTCTTCCTTCCCCTTCGCCTGGAACACCCCCTTTTCCCTCCGAAGCCCCTGTAAATGGTGAAGAGAGGCCGTGGAGGCGTTGTCTAGTTCCAACATTTGAAGATCGGGAGGCTGGGCAGTGGGGGGTGCAGGGCAGGGTGGAAGGCGGGGGGGGAGAGACGGGGCAGGGTGGAAGGCGGCGGGGAGAGACTCAGAGAGGAAGGGGGCGGCCATCGTGGGCTCTCACCTGATGACTTGGTCCCTGCTCTCTGCCCTTGACTCCCCTTCTCACGCCCAGTCTCTGTAGCAGACACCGAGCTGTCCAAGGTGACGGAAGCTGGTACAGTCCCCGTGCCCAGGAGATGAGGCTGCAATGTCCCCGCGTGGGTGAGAGGCCGCTGGCTTCTCTACCTCCACTTCCTGGAGGCGGGGCTTAGGAAGGGGAAGGACAGCCAAGCCCCAGGTGAGGGCCCAGGGCGTGTGGACTAGACTCTGGGCTCCTGCGTCGTCCGGCCCCTTGGGGCACAGCCGGGGGCTGCCCTGTGTGTCGCGACTTTCTCCCAGGAGGAAAGCCCCACCCTCAGCGTGTCCTCCAGCCTGACAGCCCCCTCTCAGCTCAGGCCACCTGACGACCTCTGTCCTGGCCTCCTGGTCTCCCCCTGGCATTGATCTAGCCTCTCTCCAGACAGCAAACCCGCCCCTGCCCCCACCCGCACCTGCCCAGTGGTGCCCAGCTTGGCTTTGTGGCTCCTCCTAGGCCACCCCTGCATTTCTACCAGCCTCAGCCTTGACCAGCTCATCCTCCCCCAAGCCCGTATCCACCCCTGCACCCTAAACCGCAGCCCTCACTCTCTGCGGTCCTCCGGACACTCTTGCCCTCCCAGCCCTGTGCCTGTCCTCATGTCCACCCCACCTGGACACCCCTCCCTCCTGTGGCTGCTGCTCACCTGCAGGTTCTAGGGCCCACACCCCCACAGTCACGGTGCCGGCTGCCGGCTGAACACAGTGCTCTCCCGCATCGATCACACAGCCAGTTCAGAGAAAGGGGCGACCTGAAATCTCGTGACACAATGTCATAGCCCATCCTGTTTTATTAAAATCACCCTTGGAAGTAATCGTGCAATGAGATCCCGAAAGCGAAGAGGAATTTCCCACTTAAATGGCCAACACTTCTAATCAGTCCTTTGTTCTGCTTCTGTAAACATGCTTGCTGCGTAGGCCAAAGATCTCAGGGTCCACTGAGAACTCACCCTCCCTTTAAGATCTATTGTTTTTAGTGTTTAGACAGATGTCTCCCCTCCCCTTTAAGATGTATTGCCTTAGTGCCTGTTTGAAAAATCCCATGCTCTGTAACTGCCCGTAGCCCATAGCAATGTCAGAGGTCTGTGAATCAGCCCGTTTATACGCAGGTATAAAAGCAAAATTGCCCCTAAGCTCACTGCCCAGATTTTCAGAGCACTAGCTCTTCTGGAAGCTCTGGCGTAATAAACTGAGTTCTCTTTCTCTCTGGGTTACTGCTTGGATTTTCGATGGTCTGATTTTTGGAGCTTTTGGAGCTTTTGGGATTTTTCCACAACAAAAGATGCCCAGACAGCCGAGTGTTTCTGTGCCAGGTAAAATTTACCTTTAGCCTCTTGCTCAGGCAAGACTATTCTAATGGAAAAAGTCTGCATTCCTAAATGATATAGCTATTTAAATGCAACGTTTAAGAATGTGAAAAAGTGTCACATTTAAATTCACATAGGCCGACTTCCCTTCAACTGTCATAAGTAACGTCACCTACCCGATTTTCCAGAGCATTCTGGCTTTCTGAGGTCGTGACAGGGGCTGCCAAGGCCTAGGGAAACACACACACACACACACACACACACGGCTCGGCAGGGCTGAAGTGAGCCGGGCGTTCCTATCCATCTGAGCTGCCGTCCTCGGGGGTCACAGGACACCACCTGTCCCAGCCACAGAAGGTGTCACTGAATCGGTCCCGCATCAGCATTGATTCTAACTGCTGTTATGGAGAGGACCACATGGGGTGGCCGGAGGGAAGGGAGGCCCTGGAGGTCCTGGTCAGCAGACATGCAGGAGGGAGACAGACCCAGAGCCAGAATTGTCACCCCCACCCCAGCCCAGGCGGTGGCAGAATCTGTCCTCAGGGGGTCAGTCCAGGCCTGCCAAGTGTATCCACCAGCTGGGTCAGACACTGGCAGTCTGAGCAGGGGGTCACACGGAGGGGCAGAGGGCTCTGGGAGGAACAGGGAGGGGACAGGGGTGTGGGAGGGGGGATGGAAAGGTGGGGAGGAGGGAGGGCTTTGCTGGGGCAGCACTGGGCAACCTCGCCAAGCCGCCCCTTCCGCCCTCACTGCTGCTGCTCCTTGGTGGGGGGCCCTCACTGTGGCAGCCTGGCCTCCTCCCCCACCAACGCTGTTTCTCAACCTGACTTTGCTCGTGTGAATTAACTAGATGTGGAGAGTCCTGTTAATCTAGTTTTCTCTTTCAACCTCTTTCTCAGAGCTCCTCCAACCCGCTGCCAGCAGATTAAGGGGCTTTGTGAAGGGAGTGAGGGTGCAGGGGAGAAGATCCAGGCTGGACGGTGGGCGGTCTTCGGTCTGGGGCTCTGACGAGCTGTGTGGCAGTGGACAAGTCGGTTCAGGCTTTTTTAGGATAAAAGGGTACGTTTTATGTGGAAGGATGTCAGGCGTGCCTAGTGCAGAGAAGGGCCCGTAAGCTGGTCTCTGGCGTCGGCACAGGAGACAGTCGACTACACAACTCAGAGGCGGTGTGACACTGTTCCGTTTTATTGTGATTTGAATACAACTTTTATACTTTCTATTTTAGCATTTGATTATACTTTGTGATTAAGGGAGCAGGGAGTTAAATTTCTGTGGTTAAGCGAAGAAGAGAATCTTATAGAGTATATTATTATTAATGTTCATGATTAACTAGTACATTCTTTTCTCAGTCATTAGAACAGAGCTACCTGATGGAACAATCTAAACTTTTAATTCTTATATCTATTACATAAGATACAGTTTGACTTAAGTAAAGGTGATAAATAGAGGTATTCATAACAGCAAATGTTGGCTTGTGGGTAAACATTGTTCTTCTTTCTGCCTGAAGAAATCTTTTAATTGCTACTTTATTTATGCTATATCTAAAGTTCAAGCTGAACCTTTCTCATAGCTGTTCAAAAGCTTCCTTGGTGCAGTATTGAGGAAAATATTTATAAAAATCAGTTTTACAAAGCTGCTTTCGTAAGCTAAGTTTCTGTTCTTTTGTTTTTTAAGCACCAAGGAGGTCCTGACCTAGCCAGCCTTTCTATAAAACTTAAACTACTATAAGGCACATGAATTCCATCTTTATTCACCATATGTATGCTATCTTCATTATACGCTCCTATATAAGGCAAAGGAGGATCAGGTAATCTTTTCATACTATTAGCCCCCCTAGGTGGATACCAGAGTTTTCCATTTATCCAGTAGGCCACAAAAAGAGGCCCTTCCATAGTAGGCACAGGCTTATGAGTAAATTTCTTATCCTTTACTAATTTTTCTACTAACTGCGTGGGAACAGGAGTATAAACTGGTTCTAGTAATTCAGCTTGTTATAATTTATTCATAACATCTTTAAGAGGCGCATCAAAAGGAATTTCCCTTAATAATTGTTCAAATAAAAGGTTTACGCATTCTGGACACGTCAGGGTGACTAGAGCTGATTCCATATGCAGGGAATTTACTATGTTTTCCTCAGACGCAAT